TGACTTATGGATGTTGCCGTCTCCCCTTAAGAACTGGATCGCTGAAGGCAGGGCGTCTCTTCCCACGTGCTTTCGGCACGCACCCAGGGCCTGGCGCCTCCTGCGCACTCGGGGGGCCTGGTGCCCCAGGGGCCTGGCGCACCCCGAGTATGGTCCGTGGCTCCACCTGGGGTGCGAACCCAGGCGTGTAAAGCAGACGTGCAACCACTACACTATGGAGCCACCCCTATAACTTTTTAAATGAAATACTTAGGTGTAAATCTAATTAAACATGTATAGGACTTGTATGCTGAAAACTACAAAACGCTGCTGAAAGAAATCAAAAAAGCTCTAAAGAGATGAAGAGATATACCATGTTCATGGATTGGAAGACTGAACTTAGTAAAGATGTTAATTTTCCCCCAAATTAACATACAGGTTTAATGCAATTTCTGTAAAAATATCAATAAGTCAGTTTGTAGATATGGACAAAAAATCTAAAATTTATATAGAAAGGAAAAGAAACTAAAATAGCTAAAATGATTTGAAAAGAGTAAAGTGGAAGGACCCATGCTCTCTTATTTCAATACTTATTATATAGCTACAGTAATCAAGATGTGTGGTATTGGCAGAGGAACAGACATATAGATCAATGGAATAGAACAGAGAACCCAGAAATAAACCTACACAAGTACAGCCAAATGATTTCTGACAATGGTGCAAGGGAAAAAAATTATTGGAGGAAGGATAGTCTTTTCAACAAATGATGATGGAGTAATGGATAACTACAGGGGGAAAAAAAATCTTGACTTAATCTCACACCCTTAGTAAAAATTAACTCAAAATATAAAAAGTAAAACTATAAAAGTGGAAGAAAACATAGGAGACCATCTTCAGGATCCAGGGAAGAGTTCTTAGATATGACACCAAAAGCACAAGCTATAAAAGAAAAATCAGCAAATTGGATTTCATCAAAATTGAAAATTTTTGCTTTGCAAAAGCCCATGTGAAAAGGATGAAAAGACAAGCTATAGACTGGGAGGAAATATTTGTAAACCACATATCTGATAAGGGACTCTAGATATCTAGAATTTATAAAGATCTCTCGAAATTCAACAGTTTAAAAAAAAAACACGAACAATCCAGTTATAAAATGCACAAAGCACATGAAACATTTTGCCAAAAAAGATGTGTATACAGATGGTGAACAGGCACATAAAAAGATGTTCAGCATCACCAGCTATTAGGGGAAATGCAACTTAAGATCACAATGAGATAATACTACATATTCTATGAGAAGAACTAAAAAAAATTTAAGTGACAATATTCAATGCTGGCAAGCATGTACAAACTATATCTCTCATACGTTACTAGTAAGACTGTAAAAGAGTACAGTCACTCTGGAAAACAGTTTGGCAGTGTCTCGTAAAACTAAACATGCAATTACCAAATGATCTATCAGTCATGCTCCTGGGCATTTATCCCAGAGGAGTGAAAATTTATATCCACACAAAAACCTGTGTACAATTGTTCATAATAGCTTTATTTGAAACAGCCCCATATTAGAAACAAACAAAATGCCCTACAAATAGTGAATGGTTAAACAAAACACAGCACATTCATAGCATGTACTACTCAGCAGTAAAAGGAATAAACTATTGAAACAGAACAACTTGGATGAATGGCAAGAGCCTTGGGTGAGTGAAAAAAAGCCAATCTCAAAAGGTCAGATATATATGAATCCTTTAATGTAACATTCTGAAAACAACAAAATTATAGAAGTGAAGAACTGATTAATGGGTGCCAAGGGTTAGGGATGGTGAGGAAGAGGGGAATGGGTGTGACAATAAAGAGACAGCGAGAGGAAAATCATTGTGGTGATAGAATGATTCTGTATCTGGATTGTGACAGTGGTTACACAAATCTGCACATGATAAAATGGCACAGAACTATACACACTTTATATTAATGTTAACTTCCTGGATTTGATATTATACTACAGTTATGTAAGATGTAATCAAAGGCAGAACCTAGGTAAAGGGTATATGGGACTTCTCTGTACTATCTTTGCAACTTCCTGTGACTACAATTATTTTTAAAAAAAAGTTGAAAGAAAAGTATTAACAGGGTCTTTATACCACTTACTTACTCATACTTTTTATGTTCAAATGTCATTTTTTAAATATCTCTACTAGAATAATCTCTTCTGCTAATTAACTGTAGTTCTGATGATCTGTGCATGAATACTGAAGGGCACATTTTACACTGAGCAGCTCCACAACTACATGACATTTCCAGATGGGAAGGCACTATCATCTCAGGATTTGTTAAAATAAAAGCCGCCTACAGATAACTAGAATTTAGTTTAAAACAGGAAAGCAGTGGAATTAATCAGGACAATCATACCATAATTACAGAAAAAATGTTATCAATTACACAAGGACAAAAGCAGCCTCAGAGTGCTCACCCTGGGACACTAGACCATCTTCCAGGTCTTATCAGCATCTTCTATAGGCCAGCAGACCTTGTAACCTGGCACTAGGCTTGCCACATATTAGGAAGTCCTCAAAAAAAATCTGCTAAGCAAATGAATGAATGACCTAGGGGGCTGCCTTATCGTTGCTCCCTGAAACAAGAAATGTGGATCTGCAGACCTTGCCATATTCTGATCTATATTTTTAACATTTCCCACAGTAAATCTCTACTTGGAGAGAAAAAGAGAAAGAGGTTTATATAGATAGAATTTCTTAAAAGTAGAAACTGAAGTAGTAATCAAAAATAAAGCACCCAAGGTACTACTAGGTTTAATAAAAATATTTTAATCTGCCTCTCTCAATTCCTAAATCCTCTTTTCAGCTCTATTTATAAACTGTTCATGTCACAGATTATCTCCATTCTATTAGCAAAGATTCTGTGACTAGTTGGAGGCCACCTTTGTTCCCACTGTTTTTTTCCCCTGCCCTTTGCCCTTAACCCTCTCCCAAACCCCCATCACACTTATTCCTCCTCCTCCCTTCAGAAAGAAAGAAAAGCGGAAAGAAATACAGCATTAAATGACCAGGCCCCGCAAAAAAAGTAATTTAAACAAGCAAAACAAGTTTCATTTGGCATACAAATATTCGAACACAAGTTTTCACTTGTGTTTCACAATAAGGCATATTGCCCACTCCTCAAATACACAATACAGAAGACAAAGACAAAACTGAGTTATGTCACCCTTACTGAATTCACCTTAAGTCACAGGATTTGAGAACTGGCTACTTAAATTATAGATCAGGCAGGCTCCTTAGTTCCACATTCCTTGGGGATGGGGTTGG